GAGCTGAAAGCCACGGTGCTGCAGCTGCGGGAGACCGTCCTGCAGCAGAAGGAGACCATCGGGAGCCAGCGGGATGCCATCCGGGAGCTCACCGGCAAACTGAGCCGCTGCGAGGGCGTCGACGGCAAGTCTGGCACGGGGACGTGGAAGAAGGAGCTGGGCAAGGGCAAGGACACCATGGGCGACCTGCCGCGGGACCCGGCGCAGGTCATCGACCAGCTGAGCCGCACCATGCAAACCCTGAAGGACCGGCTGGAAAGCCTGGAGGTAGGGCCAGGGGGCGGAGTGGGCCCGGCTCCCTGCCCGCTGCGCAGAAACTTGGACAACTGAATGTGTAGCAATGGCTTTGCACTGCTGGGTGGACACAACTAGTGCGCTTAGTCTTCATGGAGATAAATCCGAACTGGCCAAGCCCTGGCAGTGAGTTGCTTGGTTGGCTTGTCTTATTTTCTTGATTATTTATCTGCTCGCTTTAATGGTATAAAACCTGAAAGGCTCCTTCTGTGAAATATTCTCCCACTGCGTGAGGGGAGATTCCTGCTTGTCACCAGCTTAACTTCTGTATTAATATGTCTAAATCATTTGGGGAATGTAACTTCATGGGGTTTGAGATATAAAGCAGACCTTTTAGACAGTAAGACCTTAGCATATGGTGCTGAACAGACCAGTGGTGATGAGGAGATTGTGCTGGGCAGATTGTGAAGATAAGATGATGTATTTAGGGCTGCATAGAATAAAAAGAGCCTGATTCTGTATGCCTGTGAATAGAAAGGGGATTTGGTCCAAGCCCACTCATAAGTGATTTCTGTGAGCCTTTGGACAATGCCCATGATTGAGTGGCACTCATAAACATTTTACAGAAAGTATTCCCACAGGAATTGTGCTGGGTGTTGTTCTGCTTTCCACACCCTGAGAGCTCCATGAGTGTCCTCCTGCTGTCCTCCAGTGTCCGGTCAGTGGTGATGTGAGGACAGGGAGTAACTTGCTGACGGTTATTCTGTGAGGTCTAAACACTCTGGACTGCTTTTCAAATACGGTTTTGAATGATTTGGTAGTGTAACACTGTTTTATTACTGCTGTCTTTTTGTGGCACTTTTTTAGGGTTGTAGAAGAGAAATTCCACTAGAATAATGTGGTAGGTGGAACCATTGGTTTCTTAGTATTCTTAAAGATACCAGTGTTATTTGAGATAGAGTGAGGTTTTTTTATTTTCAGTTTAAATAAAAATACTATCACTGGCTAATACTTGTAGTTGATCTAAAGTACATGTGACTTCCTTACTCTGCAAATCAAAACTGAGGAAACTTTCATTTGGTAAATTTGCTTTCAAAGTAGCTTAATTTTTTATTAAAAAATAAATAATAGTTTTTCTGTTTACTTACATTGGCAATGTCGCTTGCAGTAAGGCAAAAAATTGAATAATGTGCCACATATACCCATACTAATGGAAGTACATCAGGCCTGGCTCTCTACATTGATTTTATTGAACTTAAATGTATGAAGACTCCTTTGTATGAAATGCTGGAAGCTTCTAAAAGTGCCCTTTTGTTTCAGGACCTGTTTTGCTACAGTGCTGATAAAAGCACTGAACATGACAAGTGCTAAAAAGCAATGCTTCTTTTGTACTTGCTGGAGAACTCGACAATCTTGCTTTCTTCCTTTTGAATTAGGAGCATATGCACATTTCACAGTTTCTGGTTTAGAAATGACAATTTTTTTTCTTCTTATTTCACCTAAAGCACCAACTCCGAGCCAATGTGTCATATGCAGCACTGCCTAATGACCTTCGAGAGATGCTTCAGCGCAGGCTTGGAGATCTGGAACGCCAACTCCTGAGCAAAGTGGCTGAACTGGAGGATGAAAAGTCTTTGCTTCATAATGAGACTTCAGCCCATCGGCAGAAGACAGAGACAGCCTTGAATGCATTGCTAGAAAGAGTGTCTGAGTTAGAAAAAGGTAATCTGCACGGAATTGAAATGCTTCTCCACGCTGATTAATTTTTTTCACTCCCTCTTTCTAGTACAGTCATCTAAATGTGGGCCTTGAGGGCAAAACAGTTAAGGCGCTAGACTAAGTAGTAGGTGACAGTGCAAATACTTGGACTCCCTTTTTGTTTTTGTCACAGGCTTCCTGCTTGTCAGGCCTCTACATGACTTTGGCTTACTGACTCTTAATTTGGTGTAAGTAAGTGGTTAGGATGAAACTCATGTTGCTGATTATGCCTTTGGGTAACTGCAGATACTTGAATTGTTTCATATCCTAAGTGTATAGCCTTCAGAGTTTACAGTAGAATACACATGGTGCCACTGGAGGACACTCTCTTAATACTAGTCATTTATTTGGATACTTGGATTAGTTATTACTGATATCTCTATGCATGAGTAGACTCTGTTTATTTGAATTACAAATGCCAATGGAAATATGCTAAAGAACAGAACTATCTTTCTGTACTGACTAAATACACCAACAGAGTGGACTGTGTAGTACTAGAGTACCAGTAAATATTACTGCCCAATCTTTATTAAATAGTTTTCCAAGGTGAATAGGTTCTCTGCTTAAAAGCAGCTTAATGGCCGTGCTTTCAAAAACAGTGCAAACATACATATCTCATGAATTTTAAAATGCAACCCAATGTATCAATTCATGCAATATTGGGGTTTTTTAATCTTTTTTGGGTTTTTTGGTGAGTTTTTTCATTTAAAAAGGGTGAAGGAGGTGGAAAAGGGAAGGAGAAATAAAAGATCTCTACTGGCTCTGTCATTTAGTATTTCCTGAGAGCCAGGATAAAGCCTAAACTGTAACTAAAGTTCTGGAGAATTAGTGGCCCGATAACGTCTTATGTGGCAAGTATTACCAGTCCTTGTCTCTGAAAGATGTGACTCATATCAGCAAGTCATCAGAAAGTGAAAGGGAGTGTGGGGAGAACAAGAATGTGCAATTTAGTTAGATTAAAAATAGCCTGTTCCCACCTTTATTTTTTTGTATGGGGAGAGGGCTGTCTTTTCAGTCTCAGGGAAGTGAAGAATTTGCTCTCTATTGTAGTGCAGCTTAGCTGTTCTTTGCCTTTGGTTCCTCTGTCAAACCAAAGTGAGGGTAATAATGATCTAAGAACTTAATGATTTTGTAGATTAAATTTGATCTGACCCCTTCTGAAAATAGTGTTTCTATTGTATCTTGTCATATTATTGAGCATCTCTTCCTGACAACTAACTAAAGTGTTATAAGCTCCTCCTCCTAAGACTAAATAAATGGAGGAAAAACTAACTTTACAAGGTGACAGTATGAACTTTGGAATTGTTTTATCTGTAGTTGTGACAGCTCTCTTTAGTTACCAGTGGGAAAGAAGAGTTTGAAGTTTGTACAGCTGTTGTGACTCCCAAGCTCTTCCTGTAATTCCTTCACTGGTTGTCTCCATTAACAGCAGTAGATGGTGCATTAAACAGCAGAACTGGGTGGAGGAATGATCCTGCAACTGGTAGTTGACTTAAATGAGATTCCTAGCTTTGCTGGAGACATGAATAGGTCACTTGCTAAATCTGTTTTCTTCACCTCTAAAATGGAATAACAGTGGTTTTTTGCACATCTTGTCCAAAAATAATTCCGATTCTTTAGAAAGAGGATTGTCTTACCCTATGCATGTGCCCAGTGCCCAGAACAGGAGGATTTTGTTATCATTTGAAGTTATGGATGTTTTCAAGTCATGAGAACAAATTGAAAAATATAAAAAGATTAATATTGTTTGTTCTTTTCCAACCATTATTGCTTCCTTCAGTTCTTTCACAGAGTGACTAATAACTAATGCTCTTAATGGAGAGTGGTTTGGTTTTTTTTAATATGTGAGATTGGTTGTACCAGCCTAGTGGAGGTTGCTTAATATTAGCCCTAAGACGTTGGAGTGTTTTTTGCTTAAAATTTAGAATATTTCAGGTTTTGATCTGTAAGATCCTCAAGACAGATGCAAGCATCAGACAAGCTTTTTCTTCCACCCCCTCATTCTGTGAAAAATGCAGTCAAAACACTTCAGTTTCTTCTGAGAATGGGAATTGACAGAATGCCAATGATTTAAAATTAAAAATTAAAATTACATATGAAAATTGTGGCAACCTTTTGTGACAACAGCTCTTCATTTGGATTGGAGTGTGAAGTCTCAGAAGAACACATCGCTGAAAGGTTGAGTGTGACTCTCTACTACAGAAATTGGGTTTTATTTTGTGGCACAATGTAGGATTTCTCTCTTAATATTTAATTGTAGACAATTACTTGTAAGAAACAACGTGATAAGTATACAGAAACTAGATAATACAGATTATTGCAGCTTTAGAAAGTTTTAGTCTTAAGAGTTTTCCATTACATAAACGTCTCTGTGGAGTATCTCGCTGGTTTAATAATCTCTTTTAGAAAAAGCTAAATAATAATTTTTGCTTTTATATAAAACAAATGTCTAATGTTTTCATAGTTCATAATTTTATATTGCATTTTCCTTCAGATAATTTTGAACTTCAGCTTTGTTTCTGTTTGCATCTCCTCCTGATTTGTCAATGGGACAGAAATTGGTTCTACTGAATTTAACTCTGCTTTCTGGAATATATCAGCTTTTTCTTGTTTCAGATCAGTCATTCAAAATGTTAGCATCAACCTGTTTTTCAGAATACTATCTGTAAAATTGAGATGCTGCTGGCTTCCTATGTAGTGGTACTAGGAAAAGAAATACTGGTATTGAAGCACTGTGATGCTTTAATTATGAGCATACCACAGAATCCATGTTTAGTTAGGGTAAATATCTTGTTTTAAAACAGTTTGAATTGTTTGAAATAGGCAGGCCTCCAGCCATGAGCTAAGCAATGAAGAGAGGAAATATTTAACAGCCTCTTGTTAGTTGTCTGCCATCTATTCTTTTGCTCTAAATGAGCAGGAAAAATAAGCTAAGTAATTAGCACGATGTGTATAAAATCTAGTTGTATTTTTCTGCGTTGCAAAATCAACAGTAATACTACTTCAATATATTTTTTGTGTACCTCTTTAAAGTAATTAGAAGTCCAAAGATTTCCAGTATCAATTATATTGTTTCTTAACCTGAATTACAAATATATTGTTTTGTTTAATGTTAAAGGTTTTTCTTCCTCAATGTCATTCTAGGTCACAGTGCATTTAAGTCACCTGATGAATTCAAAGTCTCCCTTCCTCTTCGCACAAACTACTTATATGGGAAGATCAAGAAGACTCTGCCAGAGCTGTATGCTTTTACTGTGTGCTTGTGGTTGAGATCAAGTGCTTCTCCTGGAATTGGCACTCCATTCTCATATGCTGTTCCTGGGCAGGCTAATGAAATTGTCCTCATAGAATGGGGGAATAATCCAATTGAACTGCTTATTAATGATAAGGTGAGGATCAACTAACTCTTCTTTATTGTCTACATAATTGGAATAAGGCCCGAACCCTTGTTAACTCTCTAGTAACTCTTTCATTCTCTCTGAGAGAAGCCAGCTCTGGGCCTTTGAGATGGTAGCATCTACTTGTCTGTTGTTGTCTATTGGTTTGTTGCAAGTTGATGGAAGTACTGGAAACAAAGTCAAATGGTGCATATATTTGTGTGTTGAGACAAGCAGCATGACATCTAGGTATGCACACACTTATGCGTGTCCTCTGTACAAGCAGATCATGGCTTCTTATGGTTTGGGCTTTTTTTTGTTCTATGAAATGGAAGCAATACTTGATGCCACACTGTTGCAAAACCTATGAGACTGCTGTATGTCTGTCTTTCTAATCCTGGAAGTTCAGATAGGTTAAAACGAATTTTGCAGAAGACAGAGCAAAGTTTGTGTAATTTGGGCTGGTTTTGTTATATTTAGTGACTGAACATCAATTTAAATACATTTTTTTCAGAGTTTAGATACAAAAAACTATAGTCTTGCACTACGTCATACAACTGATGACTTCTGACAAGCTTCAGAATGAGGCTTTGAGAAAACAAGACCCATTGAAACTTGGCATTAAACCAGATTATAAATACTTCCTTTCTCCCTACCTTCAGTAAGGTTTCCTGGAAACTTGCCGCTCTCTGAGGGATCAGGAGTTTACAGATCTGCAACACAACTCAGGTGGTTCAGTCATGTGACTATTAAAGGACTTTTAACAATCCTATCATCCTCTCCAATAAACGGAAGTGAAAAGCTGATTATTCTTAATGGTTTGTGGAAGAGAAGGAAACTTGAGTCTGCTTATCCTTAGCAATAACTTTTCTCTTCAATAGTATGTCAGTACTAGTAATGTTCTGTGAGGCTTTTCTTTCTCCTGCATCTCAGCTGCTCCATAGTCCACTGTATTTGCCTTAATATAGATTTGAGTAAGTTTTCAGATCAGATTCCTAAAGGAGCATAATTCCTCTTTATTTGAAGCCCTACATAACAGTTCCCTCAAGTTTTACTGGAAGCAAGCGGTTCCATTTGTCAGAGTTGTTACTGCAAATGGTGCAGACAAACCCCAGAATTTACGAGAAACTTAACGTGACCACTGGATGGAAAGTTAAGACTAAGCACTGAGATTTAAACAAAAGCCACAGATTAATAAGGGATCAGTGGATTGATAGCAGCTTAGACTCTGGTACTTGTGTCACTTGTTTCTAGGTGAAACACAGACTCGCATCTAGCAGCATGGCTGTATTCCTAGTACAGGAGAGCTGGGACAAAGTAAGATGTGGACTAACTTCTGCTTCTGAGGATGGAGTAAATACTGGCTGGTTTAAAAAGTGCTTGAACTGTCACAGACTCACATCTAGCAGCATGGCTGTATTCCTGAGTACAGGAGAGCTGGGACAAAGAAAGATGTGGACTAACTTCTGCTTCTGAGGATGGAGTAAATACTGGCTGGTTTAAAAAGTGCTTGAACTGTAGACTGAGTTTGCAACATGCAACATTCTTTGTTTTTTGTAGGTTGCCCAGCTTCCTCTCTTCATTAGTGATGGAAAATGGCATCATATCTGTATAACATGGACAACCAGAGATGGGATGTGGGAGGCTTTTCAGGATGGAGAGAAGCTTGGCACTGGGGAGAATCTTGCTCCTTGGCACCCAATTAAACCTGGAGGTGTCTTGATCCTGGGCCAGGAACAGGTGAGTGAAAGATATTGTGTTCCCAGGTGTAAAAAAAAAATAATTAAAAAATACCAAAACTTCCCAGGCAAACAGCAGTGAGAAAATTATCTTCATGGACCACTTAGTCCTTCTGTATTCACAGTATCAGAAAGATTACAAATACTTAATGCAGTCACACATTAGTATATTTTGTTTCACTTATATTCAGAATATTTAGAACACTCATGTTGCAGGTATTTCTATTCCCACCCTTAATGCAGTGGTATGCAACTTTGTCAGTGATCTGAATAATACCTTAAATTAAATCCTTTGAGCTAAATTGCTGGTAACTAGCAATGTGACCACTGATGTTACAGAAAAGAACAGAACTGGCCAACGCTGTTGTATGAACAGTCAAAAAGAAGCTTGTTGATAACAGACCAAGTATAATTGCTTTGCTTTGTTTTATTTTTTTTAAATTGAAGCCAAATTTATTGTACCCCTTAGCAGTTTACTTATTTCCCCCCTTCCTTTCCTGTTTATACTGAGGGTACTAAGAATGTTAGTCCTTGAACCTCAGAATAGTCCAAGGAAAGTGTGTGTATGGGGGCGAGGGGACCAACAACCATGGGCACTGGAGTGCTTGTGGGTATATCAGGATCTTTTATGACTTGGCCTGCTGTGGAGAACTCCAGACTGAATTCTGCAGCTTTTCAGGTGTGTGACATGTTTTAAGGATAGTGGAGTCTGTTGCTCATTCAGAATTTGATGTCTAAAGATGAGTCTGAATTCAGTCAAAGGGATGAACTCTAAATCAGACATTGGGGTTCTCATTAAAGATGTAGGTAAATAGCTGTCCTAATTGAAATGCTAATAAATTTTGAATATTAGTACTGCCAACAGAAGGCATTCATGAGGTTAAGGATAAGTCCTTTTTGAATACTGGAAAAAACCCAAAGTATTTTGAATCTTGCTTTTCTAGTTAACACCTCATTAAGCTATTGCTATGAATTGTGTGGCTCTTGTATTCACATTTTTTTGTTACTTGTTCTTTGTATACATATACTAAGATATATATGTGTGTGAATATACATATATATATATATATACACACACATACACAGTTATGAGTAGCAGGAAATGGCCTTTCTCCAGGATTTCCAGGTTCACAGTAGAATAATGAAATATTAGTTTTGTCCTGATGCTGATTTTAGTAAAAACTTATCCATGACACAAATGACAGAATGGTAAATTCAGAATCCTAATACACTCTGTGAAGCATCTTTTAAGTGGCATACATATTTCCATTAATATGTAGTATGCTGTTCTTAAAAGAAGATTCTTATAATGAACTTTTAATTAAATTGCACTGTAAAATGAGCCTTTTAATTCCTTTATGGTCACACAAGACACTGAATTTTCTCTTTCATAGCTTCAGCTATGCCTAGCTATGACTTCAGCTGCTGCCTCTCTAGAATGATAAAAGTACGGTCCTGTAAGAAGTTATCTTATCTATTAAGTGGCTGGCAGCTTTTCTATAACTCTCTCATGCCATTTGCCTGTACTATGCTTGGTTCTGTCCTGTAGTATCAGTTTCATGGTAGTGTGATTGCACAAAATGTGTGATACCTGTCCTTGAGGAGTGAATGGAACTAGCAAACACTTTTAGGCTTATGCAGTAGCAGATTGGGTTAGTCTTTTGGTACAACCAGGAGAAACCTGTGTATTTAGATCTGAAGATAGGCCCTGCTGACAATTGGTCGAGGGCTGCAAGTATAGTTTCCTCTATAGCCATAAAGCTTTTGGAGTGATCTTACACATCTATGCAGTGCTTGCTGAAGTTGTCCTGTGCCAAGCTTGCAAAATAGCTCTGAAATTAACCTCAATATTTAAAGCTGCCTTCCTGCTCTACTGCTTGTGGGGAGGGTTAGTTATGTATAGCCTTTGTGTGATGGTGTACAGTCATTACTGTTTGTTTTGAATTGTTTTGACATATTTCAGTTTGGAGCTTTTAACTGTCCCATAGAAAATCTTGTTCAAAGTAGCCCTTCTAGAAACTTGAAGTTGTTTGTCTCTGTGACCTAGCTTTGCACCTTCTTCTAGCAGTGTAGCAGGTGGGAAGGGTCTTCAGGTTTTGAAGAAGAAAATGCTGAAATAACGTTCTCATTTAATTCTAACTCTTGTATGCCTAAAGGACACAGTGGGAGGAAGATTTGATGCAACTCAAGCCTTCGTTGGGGAGATGAGCCAGTTCAATATATGGGACAGGGTCTTAAAAGCTGAAGACATCATGAATATTGCTAACTGCTCTACCAACATGCCTGGCAACATCATACCCTGGGTTGATAACAACGTCGATGTGTTTGGAGGTGCTACTAAATGGCCTGTGGAGACATGTGAAGAGCGTCTGCTAGATTTATAGCTGCAGTTGTTTCCCATTCAAGTGCTCCCTTTAGTAGGACAATCTTCTGAGCAATCTAAAGCATTTATTTTTCTCTCAGCCCTTCCCCAATGTTAACTCCTCAAAAGAATAAAAAAATACTGAGTAAACTGCCTTAGTGCAAAGATAGCTGCTAGTTTGGGGTGTTGAGCCTGACAATGAAAGAAGCACTTCTTGGCTAGAGCAGCCCATGCTTTCTTATGGCCTGATCCAAAAATACGCTTTGGCCTGCAGCAGCCTTTCAGTTAGACTTGAGGTTAATACATCAGCTCTTCTGGCAGGGAGGGAGAACATCTGCGCACATGTTAACTGTGGTACTCCTTTTGACATTGTGCAGTGCTGACAAAGCGCTAAGATGAACAAGCTAAATGTGACTCCTTCTTCCTTCCAGTGTATTGTCTCCTCTTTGAATTGAAGCCATTCTTTTTTAGCCCTTCTTAAAAAATCCACTTAATCCTTACACTACAGTGGTTATGGTGCAACTATGGGTAGAGCAGAACAGCCACTGTCTGAGTGCAAGGGTCTCGCTTTTTAATTTGCAGATTAGAAATCCTTATTTTATGATAAGGAGGCAATGTATTTGAGACATGCTATTTTAGCTTGATTTGAAGAAGGCTGTGTAATCAGCATAGCGTCATTGAAGTAGAGATGCTTCAGGTTAGGTTCTGTCCCAAAGCTTGTCTTTTGCTAGCCGTGATCCTAGCATAGATGGGTGAATGAAAGAGATTGTATTTATTTTCTGTAGGCTGAATGTACTGAATTTGTAGTTACCTGGCTTGTAAACTTTTCTCTATTGTTTCTCTTGCTTTAGTAAATGTATTTTTTTTGAATATACAAGCTGTGATTAAGTGAATTTCTGTTTTGTTTTGCTTTGAAAGGCCTTTTTATGAGCAAGTGCCAAAGTTCAGTTTCTGCTGAGAATTGCTATATATTTTTCCAGCATAAGTCTTCTGCACTGTTTTCTATGTTACTATAATGGTCCTATGTAATATGAAAATGTGCTGTTTTTCAATTCTTGTTGACTGTGTCTTCTGTAAGCACTGGGCTGACTACTATATTTTTTTATAATTTTATCTCAATATTTTGCAAACAATGTTGCTGTTTCCTTGGCATTGATGTGACTACTTGGTTGTGGCTCGCAGATAGCAAATGCACTGTACCAGGAAAGAGTTAATACTTTTGTTATTTAAAAGAAAAAGGATTTACAGGGGGGAGGGGTAATTTATAAAGCTAAATATCATTTTTTATTTTTCATATGTTTCAATTGTAAGAATAATATGGTGACAGTCCCATTTGTAGGATGAAGTTACATATTTCCATTAATATGTAGTATGCTGTTCTTAAAAGAAGATTCTTATAATGAACTTTTAATTAAAATGCACTGTAAAATGAGTCTTTTAATTCCTTTATGGTCACACATGACACTGAATTTTCTCTTTTGTAGCTGCTATGAGTTCAGCTGCTGTCTGTCTAGACTGATAAAAGTACGGTCCTGTAAGAAGTTATCTTTATTTCCTAAATGTCTTAAATCACAATCTTCAACCAAAAGGAACTTGGGTCTGTGTGTAACCTTAACTAGAGAAAGGCTTGCCACATTTGAATGTGGTCAGGTGTCCGAAGCTCAGGCTGAGACCTGCCTTCTACCACTGTGATCTGGTGGGTGCTGAGCTATGGCATGGCCTGGGATACAGCAGTTTTCTGGAGTGGGATGAGACATACAACATCTGTTCATATTTATTTTTAGAGTTGTGAGAAACTGAAGGTATGACCCCTCCTGGGTGAAAATGCTGGTTGTAGGCAACTTAAGTGTCCCAAAGCAGTGTGAAAAGAACTGCTTGACAATGAGGTGACTGGTTGAAATGTGATAGCAGAGGCTCTGTACTAGTGCAAGTTAAGTGTGGGGACTGACAGTAAACCAATGCTCTGCTTGGTTAACTAAGAAGTTGATGGTGCTCTCTGTAAGATAACCACCAGCTGGGGCAGAAAAGTTTGTCTAGCTCTGACAGCCTTCTCTGGCCATGGAGAGTTTGAGGTTTCTATGAAACATTACACAACTCTAGTTCAAATGTTCTCATTCTGGTTGGCCTTAAAACACATTCCAACACCATGCCTGACCCCCAGCAGTATTTTCCCTGCCCTAAGGAAAAAACCAAAAACCAAAAAGAACCCAAACCCCTTCAATATCCAAAGAGTCTGTATCCTAAGATCAGCGAGAGCACAAAATTCTCATCTCCCATGGGCGGGAGACTGGCAGAGGCATCAGCCCTCCAGTCAATCTGCCTGCCTTTATCAGTGTTTAAAAAGGAACTGAAGTCTGGAGCTATCTGTGCTGAGGTCTGCCCTTTCAGGAAATAGCTTTTGCATATTTCACTCTCTTCTTAAGAGGAGCAATGGTGAAATTGCCTTGGACCCTTTCCTATGTGGCTTGGAGCCTGTGTGTGGATGTGGTCTATCATTCTAAACACTAATTCAGTTGATTCATTTGTTGGTTGAGGGATGCAGAGGGTCTTTACACTTCAGTTGCACATGTTGATGTTTATTTAGAGTTACTTAAACACACTCCCAATCTTAGGTCTGTCTTTAGCACTGACTTTAACAATAAACACCTGAGTAGGAAGCCCCAACTGCATGGGGAGGTGTTTATGGGTGGGGGCTGTAATTGCTCTGTTTAGTGCACAGTGGGAGCACCCGATCCGGAGGCTGTTGGACTCGTGCTGCTGTGTGGCTGGGGCTGCTTTCTTCCTTGTATTCTGCTCAGGCTGTGTGAAGGAGGAGAGCAACAGAACTTATCTTTGGTGTGGGAATCAATACTAAAAATTGTAGGGTTTTTTTCTATAGTATGTCAAGGTGCTCAGATAAGAGGGTGTTTGAGGACATTCGTCCTGTTTTAACCTGACCTAGAGCTGGGATGAATCTTTTCTTCTAAAGATAAACAACAGTCCTCTGGTTTTGGGTTTGGTTTTTCACTGATTATATAACCAAGAAGGTAGGAATTTAGGGGGAGTGAGGGTTTTGACATTTTTTGTTTAGACGCCAACTCTTTAGTAAAAGCCAAAGCTAGGGAGTATAAATTCTCTTGAAAATGTTATTATTTTTTACTACATAAATTCTTTTGTGCAATAGTACCTTTTTCATTAAATAGAAAAGATGTGTATTGATTTTTGTACCTTTATCTTGTGATGAAAAGCTACGGCTGTTATTCTGCTGTTCCACATTCTGGGAGTCACATGTTTTATGTGCATATATAAGCAGACGGCAAAACAGGAGTAAATATTACCATATTCCAGCATCTCTACTGTTTATGGAGCGTGGAAGTGACAAGACAACCTTCAGTTCCCAAACTGCTCTGAATACACAGAAGTAATAACTCATGGAAATCTGACTGACAGCTACAGCACTTGGAACTTGCAGTAATGCAGATTTCTAGAAAATCTGTTTCTGGTTAAAACCAGACAGAGCTAGGGCTCCTAAAAGTGATAACGGTGATCCTAACAAGGCAGCCTCTCCGGAGCTGTGGACTGGCTTGGTCTCCAGATGACTTCTTGGGTGTGAATGCTGATCAATCAGTTTCTGTATTTCACCGTGCTGCTTGTATATACTTGATGGTTTAGTGGCTGCTGAGCAACAAATGAGCAAGCATTTGGTTTGTTTACATTCAGATTATACTTCTTCAAATATAGGTTTTTTCTGACTAACTGACCATTAGAAAATGTAGGTCACATAATGTATTTGGTATTTGCTTGAAGGGGTTTTTTTACACTCTATCTAACTAGAGCTGAATGTTGCAGAGGGGAGGAAGGCCACCTGTGTGCCTCTGGGATCCCCTTGTGAATAGGAGACTGACTCCCTTGTGCAGGAGACTTTCTGCTGGGTGGCGTTTGCTCATTAAACTGTTAGTTTATGTCTCAGAAATGCAAGAAGACCACAGAAATTCTTGCCAGTAAAGCTCTATCCTCACTTTTACACATGCTTCCTCAGTGTTAGAATATGTGAGCCTGGCAGGGAGAAGCTGACTCTGCTTTGCTCCAGAGAGCTGTTTTCCCTCAGGCCTTTCCCGAAGGCAAAATGCAGGCCAGTAGCAAAGCTGATGCTTTGTATTAGGTGCTCAAAGCTGGCACTTTTTCAATCAGGATAACTGTTTTTCTTAAAATAGTGTTTATATTCTACAGAGTAGACTTACTTCTTGTTTGCTAATGGTACCTATCTCTATAAGGATTCTTCATTCAGCTAATTTTGGTTATCCAGGTTGGGAGGGAAGATCAGCCTTTTTCCTGCATCATCCTTGAGGGGACCTGAAAATTGCTATGAGTGCAGATACAGGAGAAAATGGCCTGGCTGAGGCTTTTACCACACATGATATTCCCTTGATGCCACTGTAGGAATCTGAGGCAAGGACCTCGCTGAAGTAGAGATCTGATGATGGAGAGAGTCAAGTACCATCAGATTCACTGCAGAAAGGAAGGGTAGCCAGGGAATCTGGGGGTTTTAAAGGTGGTGTGGGATTTTTCCAGAAATCTTTCACTGAACTGTGTTTTGGGTTTGGTGATTCTTTTGTTGTTTGTTTTGGTTTGGCTTTAGGTTTTTGGGGGTTTTTTAATATGTGTGTGCAGAGAACAAGCTGGACTTTGACAATGTTCGTGATTTAGCTGTGAGGCTTAAATAATATATGAGTTTTATGGAGCTAAAAATCTTCTGGAAAGAATGGAATTAATTGCACCCCTGGCTATAGCTGTTTCTAAAAGGCTGCACTTAGAAAAGTATAAATTTGCACAAGGAGTTCAAAGGTCCATTTCTTTCTCCACAGGAGGGCTGGGCTGATGTTTTGGCAAAGCTTAAAATACAGAAGCTTCCTGATGGCTTGATGCCACTGAGAGAAATTGCTTTATTTATTAAAGATGCTTTGGTGTTTCACTCAGGGTGGCTCCCAGCATACATTTGTCCAAGCACCTCCTAGCGATGCTGTTCCCAGGTGCTCCTGCCAT